TCTTCCTGCCTGCAAGGCGACCTAGTCCCGGGGTAAGTGGCAGCCACTTTGGGGCCATGAGGCTCGAAGCATGAAGGAACACCCAAAAGACTCTCAGAGACGCTGAGCTGAGCTAAGCCAGCAGCCTCCGCCTCTGCACATCTCGCTGTGTGAAGCAGAGCAGCACTTCCGAGTAAGCCGGCGGGCGACATTCCTGACGCACGTTCAGTTCAACATACACGGACACGGGCCTGCCATGCTACATGGGAATGCCGAACAGCACGGGATGGACCGACAGTCCCCTCTTATCTCAGGATGATGGCATTCACAAGGACTCCTAGTGCAGCCATTAGAATCCACGACCCCCCGCCCCAACCTCAGTCATCGTAATAAAACCATCAGGTCTAAGCGCTCTCAGACTTCCAGTGATGCCGCTAGCAGGTCTGTGTACAAAGACGGCACCATGACGACAGAGCTGCCGGGAGGCGGTACCACCCCCAAAAACAAGGACCCCCGTTTCATCAGCAAGAGAGGTGGGTCGTCTGCACTCACCATTTAAACGCACGCCGGGGTATCCGGGAGGGACGCGTCAGAGTGAGGTTTAAAAGTGATGCCAGGCCCATCCTGGACTCTGGAACCCACTCCTTGTGCGGAGCGCAGCTTCACGCCCCTAAACCTTTGCCCAGGCTGTTGCTGCACCGGGCAAGCCTCTTCTTCCCGGGCCACACCCATCCGGCAAACCCCTGGTCATCCTCCAAGACTCACCACAAGCGGCCCCCCTCGGCGAGGCTCCCCCACAAGGAGACATGTCCCCCTCCCCCGGAGAGGCTTTGAACGTCGAACACAGTAAAGGAAGGCAGGCGGGTAAAGCGCATGACATATAGTAAGTGCTCAACGAACAGGAGCCCTTAGAACCCCCTGCAAGTATTTATCTACCTTCGCATTCACCCACACCCTGTTCACAGCTGTGGCCTGGTGCGCGACGCGGCACCTAGCACAGGCAGACAAGCCTGTGTCAAAGGAAAGACGGACATCCCCAAACACTCCCCCTCAGCCAAAGGGGACGATTTTCCCGGCCCCCAAACACACCTCTTGCATCACCCACTACCACACTTTTCAACATTCCCACTTCCCAAATGCCCCCCCTCCTCCTTCCACCCAAGCAGACCCCCCCAGGCCATCCTCAGGCCCCTGAGGACTGAGTGAAAGAATCTCCAGGCCCTCCCCCAGGGCCTGGTGCACGGCAGGCCCCAGGGAATAAGCTCATCGCTAAATGAGCCAGCAATTGCCCGCTGCAGGGTTTGGGGATTTGGAAGAATATTGTCGAGGTTACCAGAGGCCCACCTGCCAGCCTCATCTCAGGGGACACCCGCAGCCGGTGTCTTCAGAGCCACAAGAGGGGCCCCTGGGGGACTGTGGCCCAGGGCTGTAACCCCAACCAAGCCGACGTGCTTGGAGGTCCCGGCGTGAGTGCAGACAGAAGGCTCACTTTATGGGAAAGAGGGTGGAGCAGGACCAGCACCGGGCTCAAATCTGCCATGCAAAACCGAAGACCTAAGGGGGCCCCTTAAAGGAACAGGGGAGGCAAGGCCAGAGAGTCAGGGAGGCGGAATTGCGGCCAAAGCTCCGCCTCCAGCAGCTGCAGGGCCCTGGGCCAGAGACCCCGGCCCCAGGCCTCAGTTTCCTCAACTGCACAAAGATCCCGAAACTGGGGGCGATCTCCTGTCCCATCAACAGCCCTCGGAGAGAACACGGGGAAAAAAAACACTGACAGCAAACGATAATGAACAACACAGTAACAGCAGGCAGTAATTACCGGGCAGCTCCCCTCTGCCACTTCAGCTGCACGCCCGCCTACGAAGCAGGGAAGTGGGAGGAGGCTCAGCAGAAGGTCAGGAGTATGGACTCCACGCTCTGACCATGGGAGAGGCACTTACTGGCTCTGAGCCTTGGTTTCCCCGTCTGTAAAATGGGGGTGGCACTAGTGCCTACACCACACAGTACACACCGGAAGTACTAAGTGCTATCGTTGTTACGAATCCCCTCTCTATAGAGGAGGAAAGCAGAGGTGCTGAGTGGCAAACCACCTGTTCACCTCTGAGCAGTGGCCGGGCCAGGCCTCAGGACCTCACGCTCAGGGTCTGCCTAGCCTGTGGTCCAGCCAGGGGTGGGCGTGGCTGTGCAAATCCGCTCTGGTGGGTACCAGGCTCCCTGTGGCCAGTGGCCGGGGCTGAACAGCTGGCAGCCAGCCCCAAGTGGGACTGTATCACGTTCTCAGCCACTGGGCCCAGGGTGTCTCATTTCTTGGTGGGCTAACGTGCACCGAGTGCTGCAGGCTCAAGGGAAGAGGGGGCTGCCAGGGCTTTGGCACCGGCCGAGGCGCGGCCCCCTGGCAGGAAGGGCTCGGGTCCAAGGCCGAAAGAGAAACAGGCGCAGTTTCCGTTCCAGATTCCCACTTGCTAGCTGTGTGGCCCTGGGCAAGGAGCTTTACCTCTCTGAGCCTCAATTCCCTCCTCTGCAAACGTAGGGATTTATATGCTCTAACATGGGGGCGGGACACGGACTGACAAGGCCTGAGGCTTGAAAACACAGGAACAAACCGGAGCCTAAACTGGAAGCCAACAGCACAAACTCATTCACCAAGACCGCATGGGACTAGCACCAGAGTGGTCCCTCGGACACGTCACAAAGTACAAAACCCCGGTCTGACCACCTTCCTGAGGGGAAGGGGCGGCCAGCAGGGCCAGGGGCGCAGGCCCCAGCCCCAACCTGGAGAAGCGCCCGCGCTGAGTCAGGCCCATTCTCTGGGCCTCAGTTTCCCCACTTATAATGAGAGAGTTGAAAGGTGACAAGAAAGGGAGAGGGGAAGAAGAGGGGGAATGAGGAGGAGGAAGGCCAAGGGAGGCAGAAGACAAGGAGAGGATAAGGTAAAAAAGAAGGAGATTGGGAGAAAGAAGGAAAAGTGACCAGGGACCATTCTGAGTGCTGAGCGATCTCACTGACTGCTCATAAAAACACTCTTGAGGCCAGGCAGGACCATCCCCATTTTAGAGAAGGAACACCGAGGTTCGAGGAGGTCCATGGGGGTCACCTGCCCAAGGTCCCACCATGGCAGAACAGGAACATGAACCCACTTCTTTCAGCCCCCAGAGCCCAATGCTAATAAGGTCCAGGAGTCAGGTTTTGAAGCCATTAGGAAGGGAGCTGAACACGGCCACCTCCTGGTGGCCACTCCCCAGAATTGCAGGCATGAGTCCCCAAAGCCCAGAAATGAGGTCTTCCTGCCCAGCCCTGTGGGGTTCAGGCTGCTCCCCCATCCACCTCTGGAGGAGAGGAAATCAAGCAGGTGGCAAAGGGGCAGGGGCCTCGGGGCCTGAAGGAGGGAGCTAAGGCCAGCCACGCGAGGACAAAGGCTCCTTGATGAGAGTGAGTGGAAGAGGAGGAGCTGGGCAACTGGGGAGGATGCCGGCCAGCAGAGGCTCTGAAAGGCCAGTTCTAAATGCTCTTCTCTCTAGCACCCTTGTACACACACACACACAGACGTTCAAGCACCATCAGATACGCGGAGTCAGTGCCACCAGAGAGTGAATGGAGGAAAGGGTGAGAGAGAGAGCCGTGGAAGGGAGCGTTACATGAAGAAAAGCAGGCGGGTCTCAAACGCATGCAGGCCCGGGGCCGCGGTCTGAACACTCGGGGAGACGTTCCGGGGCTGCGCTGCAGGCCTCTCCCAGGGGGTCCGCGTGCTCTGGGCCCGCCGCCCCGCCCCCGGTCAGGCTTTCTGACTCCAGGGCGGCCATCATCCCAGCAGGTCCCTGCCAGGGCGTCCTCCTCACCCTGTTTTTCAGAGGAGGGCACCACGGTGCAGGGAAGTTTCTTGGTTTCTTGCCCGTGGCCGAGTAAAGCTGGAAGGAGAGGACCTAGGGTTCAGATGCGGGAGGACCCCCGTCTCACAGACACGGGGCCAGGCACGAGTATCACTGAAAAGCACGAAGCTGTGTGAGCAGCAAGGACCTGTGAGCAGAACCAGAGTCGCCTCGCTTAAGGAAGACCTCTCTCAGAGGCCCCCATGTGGGACCTGGGCCCCAGGGGACTTCGTGAGCAAGTGCGGAACTCGGCGGGTCTCTGAGTATCGTGGAACGAAAGTCCAAGAAAAAACAGAAAAGAAAAGAAAAAGAAAATCACCGAAAACCGGAAGCGGCGAGGCCCCGGTACCCATCTGGGGTCGCTGAGGCTCTGGAGGAGGGAGCTTCCCTGGGGTTCGCCGCATCACCGACCTGCCTCCTTGCACAAGCGGGAAACAGGCTGAGGGAGGAGGTGCTGGCCCCAGGAGACGCAAAAACAATAATAGACATCATAATGATAACACTCACTAAAGTGTTGGCCGTGAACCCGGGGCCACGCTAGCCACTTCCCACATCATCCTACTCAACCCCCGCACCAGCCCTGTGAGGCAGATACTATTATTATGCCCACTTTACAAAGGAGGAAACAGAGGCAGAGGCCCATCCGCACACGGAGCTAGGATTTGAACCTCAGAGACCTGGCTGCAGAACCAGCCTCACACTGCCTGTCACGGCAGGCTGTCGACGTGCTGGGCCCAGCTCACACTCTCGCTCTGCCCTCCCAGTGGCGCAAGAGAATTAGGAACCGCAATCAAGTTTTCCATGTGACAAGCCACAGAGAAATCAGGTGAATTGCTCCAACAGGCTACGAGGAGATGGGGGTAGGATTTGAACCCAGGACTTTCAGGTCGTAGCACACGTTCTCTTTATGGCTCCGTGCCAGGCAGATGGCGTCACCACTCTGCACTGGACCGGAAACCGGAGAGGAAGGAAGGCTTTCTCGGTGCAGCCGCCAAAGCCCCTCCACGGCGTCAGACTCTCAGACAGGCGCCCGCCCCCCTCGGCCCCCACAGGCCCCTGGCCGGCCGGGCTCTCCACACAGCCACGTGTCCACGGGTGTCTGACAACCAACCCGCCGGCACGGGCACACTGCGCTCCGGCCACGCCGGTACCACTCACCACAAAGGCCCCGCTCCTCTTGTCCTTGCAGAAGCTGTGGCTCCTCCGGGGGCCCAAGGCCGCAGGGGGCGCCTGCCGGAGCGGCGGCTCACCGCCCTGGGAGGCATCCTCCCTCCCCAGGTCTCTCGATGGCACCTGAGACACAGAACACAGGAAGAGGACTTTCCTGGGGCTTCACCACATACTGGGGGGACATGTCACACCACGAGGGCCCCTTCTGCACCTGACAGGGCAAAGCAGAAAAGGAAAGCTCCAGAACACCCCGCCCCCACTGCCACCCACAGCCTCAAGGATGGGAGGGGACATGTCGGAGCAGCAAGGCTGGGTTCAGCCCGGCCTCAGCCATTTAATAACTCTGTGAGCTCAGGTGAGCATCTTCACCTCTCTGATCCTTTGACCACGTGGGGAAAGACCAATAACAACAGTGTTCAGCTTCCAGGTTCCTTCCTGGGAGGACCCAGCGGGGAATGCATGACACAGAAAGCACATGACATAATGCTGCCACCAGGGGGCGCGCGTGCACGGTCCCAGGCACCTGGCTTGTCTCACACTGGTCTCCCCCACAAGCCTGTCAAGTGGGGAGCCCTCCATCAACGTCATCCAGCCTCACTGCTGCCACTGATGACTTTTGCTGACCTCGTTTCAGATACCTCTCCACACACCCCAGCACAAACGCACGCACACACGCACAGACACAGAAATGGTGTATGAACAGGACGGGACCCTGAATGCAGCTGTTTTTCTGCTCAGTCACAAACAGGGGACACCTTCACAGGCCAGGAGACACAAGACGCCAGAATGTGGAATCTGCCCGTCTCACACCCTCCCCCCTCGGACGAGGAAGGACCAGAGAGGAGAGGCACCTGCATCGCTGAGGAGCAAGGCTGGGCTCCCAGTCACTCCCCACAGTCTCTTTCCTTGCTGCCTTGTGAGACTCTCGGGGCCCCTCCTGCCTCCCTGGCTGGTCCTCCTCAGGCCCCCGCCTGCACCACATCTCAGGGGCAGGTCTAAAGGCAGGTGGATCTGTCCCGAGCCAGTCACAGGGCCTTTTCCTGCCGCAGCACTCCCCTGGGGATCGCCCACAATGCCCTGGGGCTCTCCGTAAATCCACGCAGGCACCGACCACCCTGTGCTGTCTCTCTGGGCTGCGACTGCAGACCTGCAGGCCCCGCTGCCCACTCGAGGCCCCCACTCACTGCCAGGGCTCATCTCAGACTTCATGCGTCCACAGCAGGCCTCCCAACTCCCCTCCCCCACGGCCGTCCCTCCCCCGCCCCCGCCCATCCCCCATCGGGGCGGCCCAGGCCCTCGGGCCGCCTGCTGTTCGCCTCCTCTGTCCACCCGGCCAGCTGAGACTTTGCCTCCAAACACGCTGCGAAGCTCACGTCACCTACCAACAACTCAAAATAGATCAAAGACTAAATATCAGAGCTGAGACTAGAAAACGCTTAGGAGAAAAATGGGCGTAAATCTTCCTGACCTCGGATTGGGCAAGGGTTTCTTCGATTGACTGAAAGCACAAGCGACAAAATACGAATAAACTGTGCTTCATTCAAGTGAGAAACTTCTGTGCCCTGGAGGGTGGCGTTAAGAAAGTGAAAACACAACTCAAAGGGGAGAAAATTTCTACGAATCATAAAACCCTACGTCTGATAAGAAACGTGTATCTATCATACGTAAGGAATAATTATAACTCAATAACCAAAAAAAAACCCGTTTCTTTTAAAAGTGGGGAAAAGATGGAACAGTCATTACTTCAGAGGCAGGTGAAGGACCCACGAGTTCCCACAAAGATGCTCGGCAGGAAATGAAACCCAAACCCGCCCTGAGACAGCCTCCGCCGAGACCCACTGAGGCGCTGGAGTCAGAAACACAGAGGTGCGGCTGGCCAGACGGAGGGCAGCCGGGATGCTCACGCACTGGCACTGCCCGCGGGGACGGGAAGTGGTGCGGCTGGTTGGACGGCCGCCTGGCGGCTCCTGCAGGCGACGCCCGCAGTGACCGTATCGCCCTCGATGCCCCTCCTGGGTGTGTGCCCACTCAAACACTTCGCACAAACATTCACAGCAGCATTATTCGTAGCAGCCAGAGAGCGGAAACAACACAGCTCTGGCCGCTGGCTCCATCGGTTAGAGTGTTGTCTCAAAACACCAGGGTTGCGGGTTCGATCCCCAGTCAGGGCGCATACAAGAATCAACCAATAAAGGCACAAAGCAATGTTTCCCTCTCTCCACGTCTCTCTCTCAAATCAACCAATAAGACAGAAGTAAGGGCCTAAACGCCCACCCCCTGATGGAAGGACAGATGAACAAAACGTGGTCTGTCCGTGCGGTGGGCTATCACTCAGCCTCGGAGAGGAACGAAGCCCCGACACTCGCCACGCCACAGACGCACCCTGGGGACGGCATCCTACCAGGGGTGTCCAGCTTTCTGGCGTCTCCGGGCCACGCTGGAAGAACAAGGGTTGTCTTGGGCCACACAGTAAATGCACTGCGACACGTGATCACGAGAACACCTCATAATGTTTTAAGTGAATTCTCGATTCTGTGCCGGGCCGCACTCACAGCCCTCCTGGCTGCGCGAGGCCCGTGGGCCCAACACCCCTGCAAGCCAGTCAGGAGCACCACTACCGCGTGACTCCACTCACACACGGAAGGGGCCTAACAGGCAGCTCTACACGGACGGAGCGCAGACTGACCGTTGCCGGGGCTGGAGGGTACGGGGTTTCCCAGGGGCTGGGGTGCATTCACAGAGTTCTGCCACCGCCACGACACTCCATTTCAGGATATCTTCATCACGCCCCAGAAAACCGCACGTGTGAATGCACCAGGGTCCCTCCGCCTTGGGGCTGCCTCCGGTGGGGCAGGGTGACCGTCTGCAGTGAGGTCCCCGGCCCCCAGCCACTGACACCCAGGAGCCCACTGTCCCCAGTCACATGACAGAAGAAAGGGCCCGGGGGTGGGGGGCAGGCAAACTGCACTCACTGAGAACCATTAAGGGCCCTGGGGGAAGGGGGTCCCAGTTCACGGCCAGACTCATCCTTTGGGGGAGGTTTCCTTTCTAAACCACATGTTTCTACAACTCTGTAAGGTGCACACCAGCACTCACTACCTTTTGCAATAAGGGGAATGTCACAATGATAACAAAACACTCTTGACTGAGAAACAACTCGGCAGGGAAGGCGAGTCCCAAAGGACATCAACGCTGTCACGGCGGCCGCCCCTGGGGGCTGGACAAGGGAAGGGGTCCCCGGGGGTCACTATTTTATACGCTCCTGTAAGGCGCCAGTTTCCCACAACTGCTATTTTGCATTTATGCCTTCTCTGTATTGGTGTTTGTTTCCTGAAGAACAGAACGTCTCTGGGCAGGGGAGAGGAGCAGCGAGGAGCCGGCCCAAGGCCTCCCAGTCCTCTGGGAGGAAACGGATCCCCGGGCGGCAACACCACCGGGCTGCACACCCGGGCGGGCGTCCAGGGCCAGGCCGGGAGGCCCCCCCCACCCCCCCCAGCACTGCTCTCCCCCACGGCCAACAGGGCCCCTGGCGCGGCTGGCACGCAGCTCCGGTGTCCCATTTCCACAGTCCCTTCCCTCGGCCAGAGCTCCCACAATGACAGCCTGCAGGTGGGGACGGGCGAGCCCCCTCTCGAGAAGCCCGGGGGCAGAAGCCAGGGGCAGGCTCTGAGTGCGTGCCCACTGGGTGCGTGTCACATGCTGGGGGCTTTATCTCCTCTCAGCCGAGGAACGGTGCTTTGAGGCAGGGATCCCTGTTAACCCAGTTTCCTGGTGGGGAAACTGAGGCACAGGGAGGCCAAGTCACTGCTTTACACAGACACGCATCTGAATGGGGTCACTGCAAGAGACGTGGGTTCAAAGCCAGACCCCACCACTCACCCACCCCTAACCTTGGGCGAACCCTCATCTCCCGACCTCTACTGATGTAATCCTATCGTTTCGCCTCCACAGCAACTCTGTCTGAAGTGGTCAGTGCTGCTCCCCAGGGGTCTCCAACAAGAATGAAGGTCAGGTGTCCAGAGTGGTACCCTCATCACCTGCCTTGCCTTCCCTGCCTCATCCCGCCACCCCTCCCCCAGACCCTCTGGGGTTCACCCCCTAAAACCACACACAGGGACAGCCAGGAGGCTACATAAGACGGCTCCTTCACACAGTGAACCACCATTTTTTTAAAGTTCGCAAAATGTCGAGGAGGATGCTGAATACTGGGATACACCAATGAATGCAACACCCACACACTGGAATACAGCAGGCGCTCAATAAATGATACCTGTCATCATTCTAGGCCAGGGGTTTCAAACTGGTGCCTACATGGAGCCAGCAGGCACATGTTTTTACACTTAACAGCATTTTTTAATAAGCTGTCCTCATTTGACAATGGGAAATTACATATAAAAATCTGTATTTTTCTTTTCAGATTCTCCTAATAAATTGGACCTGCCCTCTCAGACCCCCCATTCTCATTGGTCAGAACCAGCAGGAACTCAGCAGCAGCAACTGCCCCTTGAGATAGGGCCCGAGCTCCCCATCTGCCCCAGTCCTCACCACTCCCTAGCGCCTCACGCCCAGCCTGACTCTACTCATCAACACACCCGCCTGGCCCACGTGGGCTCTGAGGTTGATGCCGGTGGCCTGCATGTTTAACCAGCGTTCGACACCACAGGAACCGCCTTCGTACTCACCCTGTGACCGTCTCGAGCCCCGGAGTCCCGCCGACAGGGCGAGGCTTCGGCCTCCCTGGCCTCCAAGCTCTCCCCAGGGAGGCTGCGCCGTGCCTTGTGCTCCCGCCTCCTCTCCCTGGCTTCCTGCATGATGGACAGGCCCTCTCGGATCCTGGCAGGAGGGCCCTTCTCCGAACAGGCCCTTTTGACGTCCAGCGGTGACCTGCCACGGTGCTGCGGGTGGTCGCCCCACTGGGCCGCGTGGCCCTCCTCGCCCCTCCAGCTGGGTTGCCTCGGGGTCCCTTTCTTCGGGTCGGCTGGGGAGGGTCTGGGCAGCATGCTGGCCCCAGCACCCGGGTCCTCCCGGGCGGCGGGGTAGTTCTGACACTTTGCACCGGGGTGCTTACTAGCAAAGGTCTTCGTTTCATCCTCCGAGGTTCCTGAGGTCTTCCTGGGAGCCCCAGGGCCAGAGGAGGCCCCTGGGTGTTTCTCAGGAGGAGCGGGGTGCGGCAGAGGCCACAGGGGAGAGCCGAGTTTGGGGTTCGTGGCTGCCCCCGGGGTCTCTGGCAGCGGCTTGGCAGGGCCAGGACTAGAACTGTGGTTTGTTTCGGCAAAGCTGGCCCGTTTCCAGGGACCCTCGGCCTCCGGCCCTTCCTTCAGGCTCCTCCTCCTCCGCTCCGCGCCGCCTGGTGGGCCGGGCCTCTCCTGAGGCCAGCGGCTGGGCTCCGCGGGCGGGCCCGCCGCCTGCTCCTGGGCCTCCTGCTTCTTGTACTCGGCCATCAGGGCATCGATGTCAAGAACGCTGGACCTGTAGCCGTCTCTGACCTTACCTGAGAACGTCTCGCTGACCACCCCAGTCTTCCTTCTAACCAGGAGGTCGCCGGCTTTCAGGCGACTTCCAGAAGCTGGGGTCGTCTGGGGAGCACTACCGGGGGACGTCTTGTTCCCACTGTCCCTCCTGTCACTCTGAAAACCAGCGCTGTCCTCTGGACACCGCCGAGGAGCACAGACCGTGTCGGGGTCAATGATCCTCTCGGTAGAAAGACCCATGATCCTGTCCCCAAGAGGCGGTGAAGTGTCTACTGGCTTTGGAGGTTTTGAAATGCTTGCACGGTCACGCTCTCTGCTCTGAGCCCAGTTTTTACTGCCCACGGTCTCCCGTGGCTCTTCGGGGTTGGGAGAAACCAAGGGAGAAGCTAAAGGATGAGGAGATGGAGGCGGAGCTGTTTTTCTAGAATGTTCCGTCAAGTGTTCGGGTCCTGACTTAACAATACTCTTTGCTTTTTGAGTATCAGGAATCTGATATGTCACTGCAAAAAATGTCACCTTGGGTTCCACAGAGGACCCCGGCTTCACTGCGGGAGGAGCCGGGTCCCGTGAAATGCCGGGATCCCCGTCCTGGGCCGCCACCCTATTATGGCATGGCTGAGGTTTCCTTAAGGCCCCTGCCGTGGAGCTCGGATGATCTGCGCCTCTCTGCTCCGCCTTCGAGGAGTGTTCCGGGGCCAGGAAGCTGAACTCATCGAACTTCACGTCGTGGGGCAGAGTCCGCCGCCTCCACCTGTCGAATCTCTGGTCGGAGGGGCTCACCCTCCGCATCCTGGCCTCAGGCTCCCGGGCCGGGGCTGGCCTCAGCGCGCCCTCGCCCTCACCGGCAGCCACGACGAGGGGCCCTCTCCGCACCGGCCCTTCGAGATGTGGCCGTGCTGGGAAGTCGGAGGGCTCCTCCTTAGCCCTGAAAGGAGGGTCCGGGGGGCAGCCCCAGAGCGGACCCCTCTCTCCTGCCGAAACAGAGCCTCCTGGCTTGCTCCCGGCCCCTTCGGGCCCCTGGGGCCAGGTCTCCCTCATGGCAGCCTGCACGGCCCTCACACCGGAGGCCTCAGTGCCGCAGGGCCCAGCCAAGCGCTCACTGGTGACGTCGGGACTCACTTCCGAGCCTTTCTCGTCGCTGACCACCACCGTGGCTTTATGCCAGCTCCCGGCTGCCCCGCCCTTCCACCTGGGCGGCGGGTCCCGGAACGCGTCTTTTGGCTCTCGGGAGTCGGGGTGCAGCCCGCTGACCTCCTGCGTCCCTCGGGCCTCCCAAATCAGACTGGCCCTTTGGACGGACCCCGCCTGACTGTCCAGCCCGCACTCGGGGTGGGCAAGGGTGTCCTCAGGGGGCAGCTGCCCCCCCTTCAGCGAGGGCCGGGCCCTGCCACTCCGGAGAGTCATGGCCTTCTCCTCGGGCACAGTGGGGACAGCCTCACTGTGCGCGCGCTCCCCTACTGTGTGCACAATGTCATACTTGGGCTCCACCCTCCGTGACCTGGGAGGGTTTTCCGAGCACAGGAGGAAGGGGTTGTTGCTGCGTTTCTCGCCCGGGGGGCACTTTTCAGGCAGAGGCGTGTGATACTGTTTGGGGTCACCATTCGAGAGAGGAGTCGGTCCCAACTTGTCTGTGTCAGGATTCCCGGACCGCCTGGAGTGCTCTTTCTGGAGGACCGTCTTTTCTGGAGGCTCCCTCCCCAGCCACGAGCTTCTCTCGGGCCTGGGCCTGGGCTCGGGGACATGGGTCACAGCGCCGGGGGGTGTGACAGTGTGTCTCTCCACGTGATGCTCGAACACCGTGGCCCTCACGGTCTGGAAGCCCCCGTCGCCTTCCGGGGTGCTGTTGGAGGAGCGCAGCGCCCCCGCCGGGCTCGCCCCGCAGCAGCTGCCAGGGACCGGGGGGCAGCTGTCTCTCCTTGGTGTCCGCCCGGACGGCTCCCGGAGCGTCCCCAGCTGCCACGGGCTTCTGGGAGCGGGGGCTCCATCCGAACCAGGCCCTTCCTTTGGCTGAAAAAAAGGAAAAAGGAGAAACAATCTGACTTAGGTTAAAGAATATGAAGTGGGAAGGAAGAGGTAAGGCGACTGAAATGGCTGCTTTTCAAAGCGGATCCCAACAGTGACTCCAGCTGGGTAGCTCAGTCGGTTAGAGCACGGTCCTGAGATAGACCGGGGTTGTGGGTTCAATCCCCACTCAGGACACATACAAGAATCAACCAATGAATGCATAAGTGGGTAGAAAAACTAATCGATGTCTCTCTCTCTCTGTCCCCTTCTTCTCTCTCTGAATCCAATACAAACATACCCTTGGGTGATGAAAACATTATCAAGGATGGAACCCGTCTACAGTGGGCAGGGCTGTGGGGAAACGGACCCTTGGGTGTGGTTGGAGAGCACGTAAGTGGGCATGACTTTCGGACAATTCGGTACATCCACCATGACTTTTAAATTCTCATTTCCTTCAATGCAGCCAATTTTCTCTCAGGACTCCTTCTTCGCTCACGAGCACAGGTCCACGCGAGCGCGAGTGTGGCAGCACCGGTGGTAAGAGGGAGCGAACGCAGGCAACATCGGCGCCCCCTGAAGGGCGGCGCCGAAGTGAATGTTCACACAGCTGAACGGGGGGACACCGCTCGGATGCCTGGATCCTCAGAGCGGGGCGGGTCCGACCCCGTGACACCCAAGAACACGCAGACATTGTGCCGAGGGGAGGAGAGCGGGCTGCAGGACGGCGCGTTTATGAGATCGCACATTTATTTACACACTGAGCCTGCGTGGTTCGTGCACACAGGCAGCCGCATGGGGGGGGGGGGGGGAAGGACGCAAGTCATCCCGTGAGCAGCAGAAAGGAATAAGGATGAAAAAAATTACCTTTTAATCAGACACACTTCGGTTCTGTGTGATTTTGTTGTAATATTATGCATGTATTCCTTAGTAATTTTTTAATTTTTTTTTTTTGTTGGAAATACGTCTACGTCAACAAGTGAAACAAAGAATTAACCACAGGACACCAATTCCATTCTTGGATATACGCCCCGGAGAACTAAAAGCAGGCGTTCAGATAAAAACGTGCACCAAAGGGCACAGCGGCGTAAGTCACTATGGCCAAAAGGTGGACGCCACCCAAAGGTGCGCCAGCCGAGGAATAAACAAACACAACGTGCTCAGTGCGAGCGGTGGAGCACCGTTCGGCCAGGAAAAGGGGCGGAGTCCCCACACACACGACAGCGGGAATGAGTCCTGAGAACGGCGTGTGAAGTGAAAGAAGCCACACACAGCAGTGTGACTCCCCTTCTCTGGAATACCGGGAACAGACCAGTCTACAGGGACAGCAATGCCTGGTTACCAGGGGCCAGGGCTGCAGGATGGGGCGTGACAGGGTGAGAGGCTTCCTTATGGGGTGCTGGAAAATTCTGGAACTAGCTAGCAGGGAGGGTTGAGCGCACCGCACTGACAATACACTCAACGCCCCTGAACTGCAATGGACCCCAAACCGGAAACAATCCTAAGGATCATCGAAGTGCGAGTGGATAAACTGTGGCCAACCCATGAAACGGAGTACTGCTCAGCAATGAAGAATGAATTATATTTTTCAAAGTATTTTATTTATTTGTTTTCAGGGAGAGGGTAAGGGAGGGAGAGAGAGAGGGAGAGAAACATCGATGTGTGAGAGAAACATTGATTGGTTACCTCTTGCACGCCCCCAGTTGGGGACCTGGCCTGCAACCCAGGCCTGTGCCCTGATGGGGAATCGAACCGGCAACCTTTCGATTTGCAGGCTGGCGCTCAATCCACCAAGCCACACCAGCCAGGGCAAGAAGAATGAATGATTAATTCATGCTACAATGTAATGAATCTGAAAATAATTATTCTGAGTGAAAGAAGGAAGACCAAAAAAACGTCACTGGTTCTGTTTATGGAAAACCCTAAAAAAACACAAACTAATCTATCGTGACAGAAAGCAGAGCAGTGGCTGCTCGGAGGAGAAGGGAAGGATTACGAGGAGGAAACCCCTGTGTCTGGGGTCATTCCTTGTCTTGATTGCGGTGACAGTTTCCCAGGTGTGCCCGCATGGATGTCAGACTCACCGGCTTGTACCCTTGAAAGGCGTGCAGTTTACTGCATGTCAGTTGCACCTCAACAAAGCTGTTTTTTAAAAAACCGCAACTCTGCAGAACCACAGAGCGTGGACCACAAACCAGTTACACCTAGGAGTTATTTACGACCTTTTACTTACGAAAGAAACCAAATAAAGATACTTTTGGAGCAACTTAATTGCTAGTAATATCCTTCCTTTTGCTGATAGGTGAGTCAGGGATGAAAAGGAAGCAGGGACCACAATTAGGGGAAATTGAGGGGGTTTCTACTAACATTTAAAAAAATTTTTTATTTACTGATTTTAGAGAGTGAGAGGGAGCGCGGGAGAGAGAGAAACATTGATTTGCTGTTCCACTTATTTACGCATTTGTTGGTTGATTCTTGTATATGCCCTGACTGAGGATCGAACCCACAAACTTGGCCCATTGGGACGATACTCTAACCAACCTGGCCAGGGCATATTAACATGTTTTAACCTTTATTAAATTCTTAATAGAGCAGCCATTCTTACACAGGAAAGCCATGTCCCCTTTCCTCTTTGCACAGAGAAAATAAATACTCAGCAATTGCATTTGCAAAATGCAAAAACACTGCAGAACAGGGAATCAGACCCATCAGGCTGGAAGGGACTTGCAAAGTCCCAGCATTAAAGGAAGAGAGGTTTTACTGTTTTCGAGGGGCTTCCGATTCTCCCCTGGCTATCAGATCATAAAAGCTCTTCCAGTGAGCGCAAGTACCCACGGCCAAACACAATGACTCCTTACCTTCTTCCTTGGTTCCTTAGCAAGCTCGTCACTCAGCTCCGAACACCTCTCGTACTTGACTTCGTTGCCCGAAGCGGAACTTGAAAACCTGGCAGAGATCCAAGTTACTTGGATGGGCCGGCAGCTGTGACTCCCTCCACCCCACACCCTAGAACCAGCTCTGGGACCCGGGGGGTGAAATCAGCATGGAGACCACCGGAGCGACAGTGCCCGAGGGGCTTTGAGAACAGACCTTTCCTTTCTGGGCGCCAAACCTACAGAGAAGGCCCCGCGGGGACAGCCTACCTTAAACACAGCATCGTCGGGAGGCAGGAGCCCCCAGCTTGGGGAAGAGACCTGGGTGCCAGTGCCGGCTCTACCGACTTCCCACTGTGGGAGCTTGGGCCGGGCTGCTGACCTTGCCTGAGCCTCTGTCTCCTGATCTATAAAACGGGGTTAATTAACGCCTCCCTATTACCTTCCGTAGGGCGGAGAAGAGGCTACTCAAAGCCCTAATAGCTACATGAGGGCGTTTAGGGAACACTGCAGATGCCCCAGGAGGGGTAATTACTGGTTGTGGTTGGCAACCCACAGCCACAACAGCAGCCCCACGGCAGACCAGCCACGGGACTCCCTCGGGGGCAGTGGGCCGTCCTGGAATGTGTGGGGGCACGGGCCTGTCTCTGCCTCTCCAGGTGACTTTGGCCCAGTCGCTGTGCCTCTCTAGGCCTGTTTTCCCACTTGTGAAGGGGACGAGGAAGAAGGCGGAGTTCTGAGCTAGAATTTTTCCATCTCTGACAAGTTCCCTGGAGTGGATACCTAAAGATTTGTTCAGGGATGGGGGCTGCAGAGAAGGAAAGAGAGAGAGAAATCAAACCTCTGAAACTCGCCTCACACTGGGAGCCTCAGTTTACCCATCTGTCCGATGGGACTAACCCAAGGCCCTGCGATGAGAGAAGATGTGTGGGTCCCTGACCTGGGTGCCCCGTCCTGTTACCTGAGCTCAGGTGTTCTCAGGCCAGCACAGGAGAATCACCTGGGAAGTTTTTAACAACAAAGAAGACAGGAGCCCCTCTCCCCAGACCAACTGAATCGGACTCTCCGGGGGTTTTTTTCCAGGTGATTCTACAGGCTGAGAGCCAATGGTCTAATTCTGGCTCGGCCGGCTGGCCTAGTTCCCAGGCCGGGCAGGGCAGGCTGCCTGGAGGTCCTGCCCCCGGGAGCTCCATCCCTGACAAAGCATGTCAGTGGCATGCATGTCATTACGGAGCCAGGGGACACGCCCAGGGGCATCTCCCTGCTGTAATCAAGCAGCCACTTGTGGGAAAACAAAGGAACAAGAGATGTCAGAGGCTGGGCAAGCTTGGAAAGTCATTGTTCCAGAACAGGATTAACGATATCACTTAGTGCTACAACGCAATGAGGGCTTCCTATGGGCAGAGCGACCCCCGGCACTATGTCTCTGAGTCTCCATCCTTAAGGAAGGTCTTAGGATCAAGAGACGAAGAAACCGAGGCTCAGCTGGGGAGGCGACCTGCCCGAGCTATCTCCACCCATCTGGTCGTATTCTAAAGGCCACTCATGGAGGTCGCCCCAGGCCATATACCGTATTTTGTCACACAGAACACACTCCCATGTGTAATGTGCACCCACATTTTAAGGCTACCCATGTACAATGCACATCCACACTTTTCCCTCAAAAATGCAGGCAAAAAAGGGTGTGTTATTCACAGCAAAATACGGTAGTAAGTGTCCGCAGACTTTAGGAGAGGACAGCTTAGCTAGGGAGACAGGTTCAGGTGGAATATGTCGGGCTCCCGCCTTCCTGACATTACTTCGCCTTTCCTATCCCTGTCTGTGAAATGGGCACAATCTTTTCCAAGTGCAAAGATGAGAAGGGACAGAAAAGCTGGGCTCCTGGCCCCACTGCTGGCACACACCGCCTCTGAGGGGTGGCAGCTAATGCCACTTCCTCTTAAGGCTGCGGGTAAACCCGGGGGGGCGGTGTCCAGCAGTTCCTTGTCCTGGGGGGCCTACGGTGGGCGGTTTGGGGCAGCTTGGGCACAGGGTGGACCCCGTGGGACAGTCCTACTTACAGTCTGGTCAAGTCCGCCGACAGCGGCCGTGCCTGGAATGCCTTCCTTCTGACCTCCGGCTTGGCCTCGGAGCTCTCGGTGGTCCAGCCTTTGATCCGCTCCTGGACGCTCACTGCCGCTTTCTGCAGCTCTGGCGCAGCCGACGGGGACTCAGGGGTGGCCGGTGGGGACTCGGGCCCCTCGGCCACGGCCACGGCAGTCTCCTCCCCGAAGAGGCTGAGGCGCTTCTTGACGCTGCCCCTGGAGACCCACTCTCCCCGGGTCCGGATTTCCCCGTCGGACGCTCTGCTCCTGACCTCGGCCGTGTCTTGGCCGTTCCCCGGCCTGGGCGAGGGGGACTCCTCGGGAGCCCTCTCCGGCTCCCCGTCCAGCGTGGCTCTCTCCTCCCCAGGCCTCCGGTCCTCGGTGGAGCTGACCCTGGCCGAGCCCGCCTGCCTAGAGAGCACCTTGTCCTTCCGTTCTCGCAGCTTCTTGGCCACCTCCAGGAAGTCCGCGTCGGGGTCCCGAAGGGGGGCCTCTGCTTTGCCCAAACCCACGCCCTGCTCTTTGGGCTCCGGGTTGGACCGCTCCGGCCCCTGCTGCTGGCCGGCGGGGCCCGCCGTGGCCTCCTCGGCCACCTTCCTCAGCAAGGCCTCCCTGCTCTCAAACCGGGCGGTGAGGTCCACGGACAGGGGCCTGGGCCTCCGCACCCACGTCTTCTCAGGGGGCGTGGGGGGCGCTTTCCCCACTGTGGCCGCTCCGCCGGGGCCTGGTTTCTGGGGCTGAACGGTCTCCCCGAAGATGGCCGACACCGGCCTCCTCTTCAGGCGGGGAGGCCTGGGCTCCACGGCGGGGCCGCCCGTGTCCTCCGCACCACTGGCCTTGGCGGGAGGCTCCCCGGGGCCTGCCTCCTCTCGTGCGGCGTCGGCGGCCGGCGTCGGGTCCTGGGACAGGGAGGCCGGGCAGGGGAGGGCTGCCCCGGGCTTTCGGGCGGGCAGGGCAGGCTTGGCGGCCACCTCGGGCTTCGAGCCCGAGGGGGGCGCCTGAGACACACCCACGCTGGCCTCCTGCACCCCGTCCCTGGCCCGCTTGCCCAGCGCGGGGCCGGCTTTGGTGGTTTCGAAGAGGATCTCGGAGCCGGGGATGGGCCGCAGGGAGGGGGCCTTGTGGAACAGGGACGAGCTTCTCCGCAGGCCCTCCCCGGCCCCTGCCTCCTGCCCCGCCAGGCCGGGCATCCCCTCGCCCGGGGCCTTGGCCGCCGCCGCGTCCTGGGGGGGCCCGCAGGCAGGAGCCGGCTTGGCCGGGCTGGGCTGCAAGGATGCGATGGAGGTCTTTGGGTCCGGGGCCTTCTCCTTGAAGAAGGGTTTGGGGGCGAGTCTGGGCAGGGGGAGTAAGCGTGCGGGACTCCGCAGGGGGCTTTTTCCTTCCGAGAGCCGCGCCGACGAGGACCCGGGGGCGTCCCTGGCCTGGCAGAAGTAGGACCGCGTCAGGGTCTCCTCCTTGGAGACCTCAGCGAGGCCTGGCACTGCTGTCAGGGTCGTTATGGAGCCGACCTCCACCCGCGTCGCCATGGCTATGGCTGTGGATCCATGGGGACACCAAACATCCGAAACGCAGAGGCCGCTGTCAACACAGAACAAAACAGAGTCCACTTAACACTCAGCCCGTGTCTGGGTCGAGGCAGGCCAGAGCTCCGAGCTCTGGACAGCAGCTCCCAGCTGACCTCACCGGGCAAGCCTGGGCTGGCCTCCCCACCTCTCCGGGCTGGGGGCAAGGGGAGTGGACTGAGTGGCTGCTTTTGAAGTTCCTTCCAGATCAAAGGGTGGGGGCAGGCGCCAACATTCTCTAGGACTTGCCCGACTCAGCTGATCTCAAGGCCGGCTCTTGGGGTGAAAAATGACTGTCTCCGCTGTACAGATAAGGAAATGGGCTCAGAGAGGCCAGGCGACCAGCCTGACGTCACTCAGAAGAGCAGCGGAGTCGGGCTTCGGACCCAGCCGGACTCCACGCCCACGCTGCACGTGCCACTGCGAGCCCCAGTGACAGCACCCCCAGGTCCCCTTTCCCACCGCAGAGCCTGCCTCTGGGCATTAGCGTCCCAGCTGATCCTCGTCCCCACCCTGGGCTGCGTGCCAGCTCACACAGTCACCTGAAGCCAGAGTCCCTGAGGTCACAGAGTAGGTGAATGGCACTGAACCCAAGCCTCAGCCATCGACCAGGCCTATCCTCCCCTCCCTGGCCCTTCCAGATGCCTTTGAAAGAAAAAAGTCATCTTGATTTTTCACTCAGCTACATTGTTATTTGCCTTTGGGTTCTTTTCTGGGGAACGCCCATTGCATGCTGGCTGCTGGCGCCGTCTGAGTGAGAGTGACAGCTAATGGGGAGGGCACACTGGGAATGAGGCCTCCAGGCTGGCCAAGGGCATCCTGAGTCTTGTACGTCGTGCCATCCTCCCAACCCCATGGGGGGGGGATGCACGGTGATGGTCGACCTCATTCTGAGGCCCAGGCATAGCCCCTTGTCCACCCAGCTCTGTATGACCTGCTCTCTCAAGTCAGGGGCCCCCCTGTCACATTAACCCCCCACAAGCCCACGAGGCGGGCAGCACCGGCAGCTCCATTACAGAGACGAAGGGAAAGGGCTCAGAGAGGGCGTGCCATGTGCCCACACCACACAGCTGAAACTGGACCCCAAGTCTTCAACCCCTTCCTCTCTGCCTTTTCTGAAATTGTGTTTTATTCCTTTTCTGGTCTTAAAAAGTACCAGACAAGTCACTATTCCTGATTCCTGCCCATTCCTACCCCACCCCCAGGTCCCCACCATCACAACACTGTTCCACTCCCCCCCAAAACTGCCCCCCGCCTGCCCCCTGCAGGTGGGCTGGCAGTAGAAGGTGTTTCGGCTCCGGGCCAGCCTCCCGCTTCCCTTCCTGGGGCCCCGCCCCGCTGCCCCCGGCTCTGACTCACGCAGCAGCCTGCGGGAAAGAAAGGCAGATTTTGATATTTTTCTCTTCCTTACACGCTCGATGGTGCTAACAGATTCCCTCTCCTCAAACCCGAGAACACTGTCTAGACATGTCAGAAGCAGAGGAGGGGGGCGGGTGTGGAGAGGCAGGAGTCTGAGAAAGGGAGAACTCGACCCCCAGGGACACGGAAGGCCCTGCCGCACACTGGGACTGTTCACCTTTAGAGACGACCCCCGTGACCTGTGGAGACCCTGCCTGGGGACACATATGTAGCCCGGACACGACACGCAGGACAATAACAGGGCTCAAAGGACAGAGAGAAAACTCCCTGGCGGAACCCACGGGCGCCCCCCAGCCCCAGAACACTCCACCCCGCTTACCCGAGCCGGCAGGCCCTGGCTGGGGAGGCGCGACTGCCGGGGGAGGCCGGCGGATGGTGTCACATCTCATCGCACGGGGGCCTGTCCCCACACTCCCATGGCAGGAGCCGGCGGGGGAGGGCGGCTCGTCCCTGCAGGCGGAGTCCTGGCAGGCCTGGGGAGACACGGATGACAGCCTCAGTCCCGCGTCCCAGCGCTGTGCGTGCAGACGGTGCCAAGGCGCCGGCGTCTCCTGCAGCCCGGCCGACTCACGCTCCTTTCGGCTTCCCGGCATCGCGGGCTCAGACACCGGCGCACAGAGAGTGCGGGGCCATGGCAGGGGCTCCCTAAAAACCTCCCCCGTTCCTCTGCTTCGTGTTTACTGAGCACCTACTATGTGCACGGAGACGAACGAGACACGTCCCCAGTAGGACTGGGGAACTCCCCGTCTTACGTGAGAAGCGCACACACATGCAAACAATCATAACACTGGGCAGTAAACTCCGTGGCTCACAAAGGGGCACGTGGGGGCACAGGGCTGGAGGGTTCATGCCTAGAACCGGGAGTGGTGGTCCCGGAAGGCTTGCTTGGCTTAGAGGAGGTGACTGCGGAGCACTCGAGGCGCTGGCTGCTCTGGGAGCCAGCTCTCCCGCTCAGCGGTGCTAGTACATTGCATCTCTTGGAGGCTCTCGGATGCCTCCCCAGGGCCTTTGCACACGCCGTGCCTGCTCTCTGAGATGCTGCTCCTGCTCAGACACAGGCCCGCCCCTGAGGTCGCAGCCCAGACCACTGCCCCCTCCAGCCTAGTACAGTCTCCCTCTTCCCTGCCGGCAGAGCCCTGCAGATACACGGCAGGCGTCCTCACAGCTACGGTTACATTTAATAGTGCATGGTGCTTCACACCAGTCTTTCCCACTCCACGCTAAGCCCCCAGAGGGCCCCCGGAGTCCCAGTAGTCAGCCCGGTGGCCTGGCTTATAATAGCACCACCTACGTAATTACTGAGCGAATGCATAAATGAAGGAAGAAATATTCTCCCGGCCCCGCTCCCCACCCTTCTAAGATGCTGCATGAGTACAGATGTCGGGAGTCTCATCACACACAACACTCTGGGACATCAGATGAGTTTCCCTGGCTCTGGCGTGCCTCGGGGGGCCATGGGTCGAGTGCTACAGGATGACAGGACCGGAGAGCTGTGCAGAGTCCGGCTGGACGCTTGGCCACCGTGGGAGGCCCTGCCGGTCTCACTGGGCCACAGGGAGGAGACCCAGTGTCTCGGACGGGCCACTGTCAGGCGCCTGCAGTGACCATATTAACCCCACACTGGCACCCCAGCTCATCTGCCCAGATGTGAAACGGCTGCTTCTCCGGACGGCTGTTCCTGGGAAGGGAGTCGCCACGAGCGACTGCTGCCGACCCAGGGTCAGGGGCACCCAAGCGTCACCCAACTCTGGGCTCACGAAGCCGTCCCAGCAGCCGCACCACAGGGAAGGGGGAGGGAAAGGACAGGGAACACGGCCTCTTCATCCGCACCCCTCCCCGCCAGAGAGGTGCCTCTGTCATCTGTAATCCACTCAGCATTTTTGGGCTTCCTCTCCAGTCCCCATTTAAAATGCCTGGTGTGTAAATATGGTTGCACGAACGAATCCGTGAATGAATTAATAAGGCAATGAACGAAGGGGGAGAAGTTTTTAAACCGCCAGCGTGAATGGCTAAATAATATTTTGAAGGCATTCCCCAGGTTCCAGGAGAACCGAGAGAAACCCAGGAGTCCCAGGTTTTCGCTGAGCCCGTTGTAAAATACAAAGACACTAACTGGAGTAGATGCTTTAAACCCCACTCTCAACACGTCACATATGTTCTGCTTAATTTGAGAGATGGTAGTCTCTTCCAAAACATTTCGGAAGCCCACACAGCGGCAAGATGCTACACATTCCTGGAGTGGGCCTCACTTGCTCTTTTTAAAATTTTTTTTTTTATTGATTTTAGATAGAGAGAGGAAGGGGGGTAGGATGGGGGGAAAGAGAGAGCGAGAGAGAGAGAGAGAGAGAAAGAGTGCGATCAATTTGTCATTCTATTTACTGACGGATTCATCGGAAAGCCCGTCTGTCTGTCTCTCACAGGCACTCATAAACTTGAATCTTGGGTGTGCCCTGGCCGGGGATTGAACTGCAACCTTGGTGTATCGGGATGATGCTCTAACCCACTGAGCTACCTGGGCAGGTCCTCACTTGCTCTTTTTAAAATTATTAGTGCTGTGGCTAAAGCCAGGCAAACAAGAGCTCCCTGGAGAAAGCTGGGACCCCAGGTGTGAGCCACCCCCTCCTAGCCATCGTGGATGTGGCCCTGGGGGACAGAAGGGCAGCGAGGCTGCCTGGGACGGCAGGAGGCCGCGGGCGCCCGGGAGACAGGCAGGTTAGTCCGAGCCCAAGCACCTGGAGCAGTGGGTGGCAATGGGTAGGTCTCTGCTTTTTGCTAAACCTGCCAGGTCCACAGGCTTGATTTTGCTGAACTGATTTGCAAAATTTAAAATTCCATTTCCTGCAATTTCATGCAGACAAAAAGTCCTGTTTTTCCTGGGAACTGAGTCACCAAGACCAACAGTTCCTGAAACTCGGCGCCATTCGAGAGCACTCATCCGTCCATCCTTCGGAACCTCCTTCCACACCCCGGGCTCCGGGCTGGGTGCCGGGCGCGCAGCGGGGAGCCCAGGGTCTCCCGGGAAATCCGAGAGAACCGCACGGGGCCAGGGACGCGCTTCCGTTCAGAACCCAACAGTGTGGCAGCTTTTCGCTCCGATTCAGAGGCGTTGGTGCGCTCTAACAGCTGTTGCCAATTCTTCATGCTCACACCCTTCACTCCGATCTGGGAGCTCACCAGCCGTTCACTCAGCCGTCTCTGGGCACCGTTTCCTGGGAATGCCACCATCTGCTGAGGGGCGCGAGCCAGTCCTGACACCTTCCAGCGTCTTCCGGAACGTGACCTGGGCTCCCCGGTCTGCAAATCTGCGTGGCGCACTGGGCAGAGGGCCATGTGTATGCCCGTGTCCTCCCGGAAGAGCTGGGCTGCAGGAAATGTGTGTGGCTGGTCCACCCACAGGCCCCAGATGGAAAGTGTCTCATGTCGCTGGAATGCAGGCATCCTCTCTCCTCCATCCCCATGGCTGCATCCTTAGCTCACTCATTCATTCATTCATTCATTTATCCCAAAATGCAATTATTGAGCACCCACCAGGTACCAGGCTCTGGGCGAGGTGTTGGGGACAAGGCCTGTTCCCATGGAGCTGGCAGTCAAGAAGTGGGGAACGGACAGTGGACGTAGACAAGCAAGACAAATGTTTGGGTGAAGAAGCATGCAGAGCGTTGGATGAGGGACAGTGAAGGAGTGGCCAGGGAAAACTTCCCCGGGAAGGGCACTTAAGACCCGCCTCCTCGCTGACACCCCGTCTCTGCTGAGCCTCCTCCACTCTATGCTCCTAGCCTCGGCCAGAGTGATTCTCTGACAGGCAAACGCCACCACCTCGCTGCCCTGCGCAAAGCCCATGCGGTCTCCCCGCCGACTTCTGGATACAGGCCGAACGCCTTCCCTGAGGCCCAGCAGGGTCTGGCTCCTCTCCATTCCACCAACTCCAGTCTAATGATCGACACCTCCCCATCCGTCTGTCTGGGTGTCTCCCACATGCTTACAGTGAACCCCAGATGGGTCACAAGACATGCTGTGCTTTCCGTCATCTTCAAGCCTCTACACTGCCATTTGCTACTACCTGGCTGATCTCTAGCCATCCCTCCGTTCTCAGCCCCAAGCTGCCACCTCCTCCAGGAAGCCCTCCCTGATGCCCCACATGGGTTCAGGTGCCTTCTGGGTGCCCTGGTATCTTACTCCAGTGCTTCTCTCTAGCCCAGCACTGATCACACACCTGGTAACTGCCTCTGTTTCCTCCACGAGACCGGGGAGCTCCTGGTCAGAAGGCACCTGGGTCCACTTCACAGTTGCATTCCCAGGATCTGACCACCACACTGGACACAAAGCCAGTGTGCAAAAAAATACTTGAAAAGAGGGCATCCCCCGATAATAGTATCCAATGCAGGCGTGGGTGTGGAGAAACTGAAACGCTCACCTGCTCCCAGGGCCAATGTAAGTTGTCGGAGCAATTTGGCAACATTTATTTTCCACTAACATTTTTCTGAAACTCCATCAAGAGGCAGGCATCATACCAAGCGACTCTGTGCTCCTTCTGCTGTCTCCCATTTAACTCTCAACAACCCTGTGCTTTTCAAATTATTACCATGCTACAGATGAGAAAAACGCGGTTCAGAACACGAGCCAGGTCCCATGCCAGTGAAAGTCGAGCTAGGCTCCGACACTCCGACTACCAATCAGTTATTTTTCTCCAGCAGACGGCCCCCCAAAAACATAGCTTTTTGACTCAGCAGTCTCACACTTCTAAAACCTTATCCCACAGAGGCACCTAAAGGCAGAGAAAGCTATGCACCCAAAGACACCCACGGCAGTGTCGTCATCGACCCAAGTGCAGAATGACACAGGCAGGGCTCGGGGTGCTGACCCTTATCTGTACAAACCCAGGGCTCCTGAAATGCCACAGACGTTGCAATGTTGGCAGGCGGACAGACCTCCGGTTCCCCGTCCGCCCAGAACGTCACAAGCCACTCAAAACCCCGTCACCCCACACACTCCCTGACTTTGGGATCAGGAAAGATGGTCGCCGTGGCTGTGAGAGCAAAAACTGAGCAATGATGGACGCCCCGTGCAAAAGGCGACAGTGCCCCAGCTTTCCCGTGCAAGAGGCTCATCCTGCAGCCCCGGAAGGGGCGGGCGGGCGGGAGGTCTGTGGGATCCCCTGGAAAGCACTTGGGATAATCCCGTTGGGCGAGGTGACAGGCCGCACATCGCTCCAAGTCAAGGCTGTGACAATAGCTAAGACTGTTTGTGGGCAAGGTCTGGAAGAGACAAATGAAAAAAAAAACGTGTTGGGGACCTGGGTGGAAGGGCTGGTAAATTTTGAAATGCTTTTTTATTTCATTTCCATTAATGTTGTTTGTGCAAATAGATTCCTTTTCCGGCCCCCCACCAGAGGTTTCCACCTGCACTGTGCTCTCCCCAACAATTCAAAACGAAGAGCTTCTCCGGCGCTCTCCTGCCCACTCTCAGGAGAGCA